ACCAACATAAAATGGATCAAATAGGCAAGTTAGAAGACATTTCTTCACACAGAGAGTAGTGGGAATGTGGAACACGCTACCACAAGGATTTGTTGAGGCAAATAGTATAATGTAGTTAAAGGGAAAGCTAAATAGGTACATGAGGGAGAAAGGAATAGAAGGTTATGCTTGAAGGCATAGTTGAGGAAGGGCAGGAGGAGCCTCATGTTGAGCATAAACACCAGTTGGGCCGAATGGCCTGTTTCTGTGCAATATATTCTAATGGATCTGAAGTATTTTCAAATCCCTTCATGCCTACTCCCCACTCCACCACCCACTGCCTCTCAGCTGGCTCCCGCCTCCTGTTTATCCCTCGTACTCTCCGCTCCACCATCGGTGGCCATGCACCATCCAGTTCGTTGTCAGACTCTACCACTGTGAAGCGCTCTGGGACACTACCCCGAGTAACAGCACTTATAAATGCAAGTTGTTGTTGATGGTGACAAGACATACTGGCTTTTTGTTTCAATGCTGGATGTTAAAACTCTAAATAACAATTTTCAGAAAAATACAAATAATATTCCTTGCATTTGATATAGCGCCTTATCACGATTTTGAGACGTATCAAAGAGCTTCACAGTATATAGTGTAAAGTGAATTGTCTGTATATTTTGGATCGAATTGGGGCAGTCAATTGCGAACAGCAGTGCCCCTCGAACAGTCATGGATTGAGTAAACACATTTTTTTTAAGGGATTATTACCTGAAGAAAAGCAATCTACCAATTGACTAGCAACTGGCTTCCTACTTTGCTGCTGGAAGGTGGTAAACAGAGGCTTGAGGAGTAAAGAAACTTGCCCAACGTTTTCCAGGGGGAGAGGGAGTGGGGAGGTGACTGTAAGCACAATCAAAAAGGAAGGTGTTTAGGCAGGATTTGAAGGTTGGGAGGGAAGGGCAAGGTGGAGGGATTGAAGGAAAGAGTTCCAGAATTTTGGGTCATAGTGGCTGACGGCCCAGAATCGAACCCAGGTCCTCTTGCTTGCGAGGCCAGTGCTCTACCCACTGAGCTACAGGACTCCAAATATGAGGGTGTCCAACTCATCTCATGTAGCAGCTTCTCACCTCAGGTGCTGACCTTATCAACCTCCCATGGGGAATAATAATTCTTGCATTTGAAATAGCGCCTTATCACGTCCCCGAGATGTCTCAAAGCACTTCACATATACTATAAAGTGTAATGACTGTGTATTTTGAGGGCGAAATGCAGCAGCCAGTTTGCGTACAGCAGTATCCCACAAACAGTATGGAGTGAGTGACAATTTTTTTTATTGAGGGATGTTTGCCAAGGACACCGAGAGAGAAAGCTCAATACAATTCAAGAACCTTGTGCCGAACCTTGGTTATCTATTCTGACTCTCCAGGCTGAAGTTGCCAGAGCAGAAGCCGTGGCCGGGAAGTAGGGACCCAGTGGCTCTGCAAATTTTAGGCCGTTTCATACCTCCTGCCTATTGCGCCCCTTCACACCACTATCTTTGTCAACACTCTTTCAAAATCCTTGTGTCTTGTCACACCTTGGTCTTCTTTCCAATCCCCGTCTCTTTGAGTGCACCTTCAGCCAACTCCCCTCTACAACTTTCTTCCGAACTCCCTACCATGAAGCACTTTGACACATGTTAAGGTACTATAACAGTATGCTTTTTTCTTTCACTGAGTCCCAAAAAACTAATTCAAACATTTGCAGATCCAGATACTTGTGAAGAGCAACAGAACTATGCTGGTATTCATGACTCAGGCTGTGCACGATTGCCTACACTTTCATTATAGTTGGTGAGTACAAAGAAGCAGAATGCAAGGATTATTATTATTGGCTGCCGCGTTCGCCCACAAATATACAGTCAATTTACTTTACAGTGTGTCCTGTGAAGTGCTTTGGGACGTCCTCCCGACGTGAAAAGCACTATATCAAATGCAAGGATTATTATTATTATTATTACACATGCACAGTCACTACACTGTGACTACCTAATAATAATCCCTTCAAAAAACAAAACAATAATAAATTGGTCATTTTCAATCTACGACTGTTTGTGGGACATTGCTGTGAGCAATTGGCTGCCGCGTTCGCCCACAAATATACAGTCAATTCACTTTACAGTGTGTTCTGTGAAGCGCTTTGGGACGTCCTCCCGACGTGAAAAGCGCTATATCAAATGCAAGGATTATTTATTATTATTACTGGAGTAGCAATTATCTGTGAAGCGTTTTAAGATATAATAATAATCCTTGCATTCTGCTTCTTTATACTCACCAACTATAATGAAAGGACGGTAGTGAAACCGCAGTTACAAACGGGTCCTGTCTTCAACTGACAAGCTTTGGGACAGACTATCCTTAGCTTCAGAAGAACAGCATCTCCCTCAGACTTCTTATAGTCAATTAAGCAAGATGTGAATTTAGGAAGATTTGTTTCATTTCTAGCCACTAAAGCAGCTTTTTAAGGCTTTAAAGATGCACTGGTTTGAGACTTTACCAATTTCTTTATAAGAACTGTATAACATCAGCTTCCAAATTAAGGCAAATTTAAAGATTTTCCAGTTTGCATATCATAAATGGTTTTAAAACTAAGACTGGGAGCACTTTAGGGTCCTCAAATGTATGGTTCTGGTTTAACACCCCTAATCCTCTGCTTCCATCACTGCTCCTAGTCCCCTGTTTATCTTTAAATCCTATCTAAGACCTACCTCTTTGACCTCCCCTATGATCACCTCCCCCTGCCATTTACTTGATGTCCAACAGAGTCACAGTGGAGCCCTCCAAAACACTATCATGCTTGAAGGATAGTGCTTTTAAGCGCTCTGAGATGCTACCCTGCATGGAGTGCCCTATAAAAGCACAAGTTGTTGTTGTTAAAGAACGCTATATAAATGAAAATTGTTGTTGTTGAGGGAAGGTTAAAGAATCCTGAAGTTTCCTGTTTATTTCCTGTCCTCCTGTTGGATGGCTGGGTAGATTTTTGTTTACAAAAAGTTGATATATTGTGAAATGCCATACAACAAATGAGTGTTCTCCATCACAGTTTTTGAAGGGTAAAGGGGTTCATAGAATCATAGAATTATACAGCACAGAAGGAGGCCATTCGGCCCATCGTGTCTATGCCAGCTCTTTGAAAAGAACTATCCATTTAAATCCCATTCCTCCCGCTCTCTCCCCATAGCCCTACAAACTTGTCCTCCCCAAATAATTATCTACTTTTCTCTTAAAAGTTGTTATCGAATCAGCTTTCACCAGCCTTTCAGCAATGCATTCCAGATCCAAACAACACGCTGTGTGAAGAATTTACTGTGGGTTGATACTTGAGGAAAAATAAATGGGAAAGAGCAGGGAAATGGGACTAGAGTAGATTTGTCTACAAATATACAATCACAAAATTCACAGTAAAATCTTGTGAAACACTTTGAGACATCTCAACAATGTGATAAGGCGTTATGTCTAATGCAAGGATTATTATTAAATAACTGCTGTAGGATAGCAAGCACCAGCGCAGATAGGATGAGCAGATTGGATTCCTTCTGTGCTGTACATATTGTTGAATGCTTTGCTATCAGTCACTGCTACACATTACTGCCAAATGTATTGAGCTGAGCTCATCCCTCCCCCATCAAAGTCACGCCCAGCCGATGCTGACAGGTACTGTGAAATGTCTGCTCGTTGCTATGCAACATATCCTGGAACAGTTACCAGCCCCTTGTCTTACCTCATCACCATCGCCCAGGAAGGGGGCGGGCGGGGAGGGGGAGGGTGCGAGAGAGAAAGGAAATAATCAGAGCACAAGGCTTTTTAAGTATCTCACCAGAATCAGTTCAGGCAGAGCTGGAAAGATGGCATTCTCTCTTTAAACACAAAACAGCAAACACTGTAATTACTTTAAAGCAAAGTTTTTACATTAGTCATCCCTATAAGTGCACTTTCCTGCAGATGGGCTAAGAATTGCACTCCCACCCCACCCTCATAAAACCTCTGGCTAAAAGCCCAAGTGTCAGGCTGTAACCCATGGGCCACAGAATTACTTACATTGACCTCAATACCAAACTCAATCACAGAACGACTTCATTCCCACCATCAAATGATTTAATAATATAAATAATCCCTTGTATTAATTGTAAAGAGCTTCACAAAAAATTGCTGAGACGTATACGGACTGTATATTTGTGTAAGCAAACTTAAGGCACGGCAAGCTCCCACAGCCACAAAGTGATGCGTAGCACAGTGGTTAAGAGCACTAGCCTCGCAAACGAGCGGACCTAGATTCGATTCTTGGGCAGGGCAAATCCTTAGGCAAGTTTCCTTACTCCACATGACTCTGTTTACCTAACAGTAAGGAGGAATCCAGTTGTTAGTCGAATGGCGGATCTCTTTTCCGGGGACAATAATCCCTTAAAAAAATAATAATTTAGTCATTTAATCCACGAATGTTTGTGGGACACTGTCATGCGCGTATCTCCCACAATTATACAGTCAATTCACTTTACAGTATATTCTGTGAAGCACTGAAGATGTCTAGAAGACGTGAAAAACGCTATATCAAATGAAAGGATTATTATTACCAGAAGGTTTGTGGGTCAAGGAGAGACTCTCCCACAAGCAGGTAGGACCTCAATTTAACATCTCATCTCAAGACCTTTCTCTTCGACCGTGCCTTCAGCTCCCTTCTCGACTCTCTACCCCCTCCTCGCTCCCTCCCTTCCCTCCACTCACCCTGACCATTCTCCCCCTGCTCGGCTCTCGACCCAATTGTCCATCACCTTGGGACGTCCTCCCGATGTGAAAGGCGCTCTATAAACGAAATCTTGTTGTTGTTGAAAGATAACACCTCCAACAATGCAGTGGTTTCTAATACTGCACTGGAATATTCAAGGCCTCCCGTCAAGCACATAACCTACTGATCCAGAGACAAGAGGGCTCCATCTGGACCATGTTAACATCTGCAGTGAGGTGCAAGCTGAACAGGGCTTCTTACTGTACCTTTGTGACCACAGCCTGTTGCACAACATTAGTTCACCAACGTATGAAGATCACTAGACCAGTACCAGCATCGGATGGCTGTTATCCCAATGAGATCCTACAGGAATGATCCAAGAAGTCCCAGCTTGACAATCTGTCAACCAAATGAATATAAGGAAATAATATGAGGGCAACGTTTTAATGACAAGGTCTTCCAGTTCTTACACCTCAACAGTAAACAGCTTGACGTCACAAGTATTTTTAACAAGTCTAGTTTGAGGTATTGCTTAGCTTGATTCCTTGATACAAATCCCATTAGAATTCCTAATGACTTGTGGAAACTTCAGGCTGGTAGTGAAGTGCACCAGCACAGTTGCCTTGGAGCAGCTTCAGCTTACTGGATGGAGGTTACCATTTGCACGACTGGTAGAGAAATCCCATTAGAAATGTTGGAAACTGAATCTGGGGCCCAGCTAACAAAGCATAACCTAGCAGCTAAAGGCATTACCTGATATTTTAGATGCATTACCTACATTTAAGATAGGCAATAGAAACAGAGGGGAGGTAGGTGATTTGTTTTACACAGAATTGTTAAGGTCTGGAATGCACTGCTTGAAAGGGTGGTGTTAACAGATTTAATAACAACTTTCAAAAGGGAATTAGATAGGTACTTGAAAAGGAAATATTTGCAAGGATATGGGGAAAGAGCAGGGGAGTGGGACTGATTGGGTAGCTCTTCCAAAGAGCCGCCACAGGCACGATGAGCTGAGTGGCCTCCTTCTGCGCTGTCCAGAACAACAACAACAACAATTTGCATTTGCATTTGTAGAGTCCTGTAGCTCAGTGGTTAGAGCACTGGCCTTGCAAGCGAGAGACCTGAGTTCAATTCCAGTCAGGGCGAAACCTTGGGCAAGTTTCCTTACTCCACACGCCTAATAATAATCCCTCCAAAACAAAAAAAAAAAATTGGTCGTTTTCAATCTACAACTGTTTGTGGGACATTGCTTTGCGCAATTGGCTGCCGCGTTCGCCCACAAATATACAGTCAATTCAGTGTGTTCTTGAAGCACTTTGGGACGTCCTCTCGACGTGAAAAGCGCTATATCAAATGCAAGGATTATTATTATTATTATTTATAGAGCGCCCTCGACGTCGGGCGGTGACACAGAGGGCTTAGGGATCAGAATATTCAGAGAGGGACAATGAGTTGTAATGTCCCCTACCATGCCTCTGGTGTGGTATGCTCTCTTTGTCTTGCTCCTTAACTGCCTTTGCCTCCAAACCTCAATCACTCTCTTTTACTCTGCATTTGGTGATCCCATTGTCTTTGTAAAGTAAGACATCCCCAGACATTCCTCCTGAATGAAAAGTGCTTTTTTTAAGTTCAAGTTGTTATTAGGGGAAAAAAAAATCCAGAGTAAGTGCTGAACACCAGTTATTTCACCAATGTTTCTACATTGACTCTATCCACTCTAACAAAGATACATTCCTGAGATACTCCAGAGAAGAACATGCAAGGACAAGAGGACAAAGGAGACTTTGGAGGAGATGGGTCAAGTAGGATTGGAATCAGGACTCTAGTCCCAGGGGAATAAGTGAGGGAGCAAAGCAAATGGACTAGTATAGCTAACAGTGCCAAATGTCGGGAAAAAGAAAGATATATGAGTGCGGGGGTGCACACAAACACATGTACGCGTGTATTCACTCATACCAGACCTGATATTCATACACTTTTCATACTAGCAATAGGCCTAGTTCTGATTATGGTGGATTCCTTCTGGTCTCTATAGAAACTGAGCCAATGACAACCACAAAGTTAATTAAAAAATTATAATCAAAATATATACAGGGTAGTCAGAAAGTAGAATTCTCTGCCATAAACATAATCGGAGTCCAATCATGATATGAGAATGGAATTAGAAAGATGCTTGATGGAACTCGCTTCTAGGTTAGAAAGTTAAGAGTTCAAGCCCATATAGGAACCTGAGATCCTACTCCTGTCGAGTACTGAGGGGAAAGCTACTTTGTTGGAGGTGCCATCCTTCAGATGAAACATTAAATCTAGTTCCCACCTTCCTGGTGTTCAGGTGGACATTAAAGATCCCATGACAACTTTGGAAAATAAAATGAAGTTTTTCCCGGTGCCTGGTTAACAATCCTCCAGAGAAATTGGTCAAATATTTCATCATTGTTTGTAGGATCTCTGTACTCAAAAAACCTGCCATCTTTCCCCACGTAAAACAGGCAATACACATGACAATAATTATTGAACAGTCCTTTAAGATATTTCAGAATACAATGCACTATGAAAGAGTAATTTCACTTTTCTGGGATAATAATTCCTTAAAAAATCGTTTTGGTCACTAAGTTGTGGGTCACTGCTGTGCTCAATTGGCTGCCACATTTCGCCACAAAATATACAGTCAATTCACTTTACACTACTGTATATTCCGTGAAGTGGTTCGAGACATCACAACAACGTGATAAGTCGCTATATCCAAATGTAAGGATTAGTAATAATATTGCTCACTCTTTCTCTTTACTCTCAGACAATAAATACATAAAGTTTGTTTGGCTAAAACATATTTTGACTAAAAAAAGTTGGAAACATGCTGAGTAATAACAGGACTTAAAGTATGAACGGTACCTGCACACAGACTCATTCATGCCACACTGTTGAGATCACTAACCTCAGAGAGACTGAGCACTGTACAGTGTGAGATATTCAGCACTGTTCAGCAGTCTGCTGTTCTGCTCACCTGTCCAACCAGCAGAGAAGGCACACCGCCAGCAGCGAGAGAATGCTGGTTTAAGAGAGGGTTGGTTCAAGTACTGTATTTAAAAAAATACAGGGCGTTGGCACTGAATTGAATAGAAAACCAACTGAAAATCTCTTGCATATGAATAGAAAACCTTAGTTTTATCCCAGTCCAAGAAGAATAGTTGTAATGATTTCATCCGATCGACTTTATTTTTGGTCAAAATCTTCCTGTAGATCATAGTACGGACAAATATTGGCAAACGGAATTTCAAATTTAAGGTTTTGACTTAGGAGCTCTATGAGTTGGGCTGAACTGTTCCAAATGATTGAGTAGCAGAAAAGGGTGTGTATTTGTGTGTATGTATTGGGAGTTTTAGACCATGTCAAATACTTTCCTCTAGTCTGATTACCTAGTGAACTGCGGAGCAAGCCCAGTGTAATCCAGTGACAGGCCAGTGCAAAACAGGCAGAGCAAGAGCTGGGGGAATAGAAACACGAAGGAAAACCAAACCTTTATCTCATATTCAATGAGCATTGAGCAGTTTGTGTGGCACTGCAGCCTTTTCAGCTGGTGCCAGTTGTGCTAGAGTCACACCAGGAAAACACCCCTTTTGCTGCCAGGCTAGTTAAAACTGGATTACCCCACCTCTCATTTTTCTACTAGCCCCTTTAGCACTTTGCAGGAGAAGACAGAATTAGGAATGTGATTTAACCACATGCTAGCAGATATTAACTCACGCCCCCACCTCTCCAACAGGCTCCCTTATTCAGCCAGAATGTTTTTTCAGCTTCTCCTACACATTTTCACACAGCTGAAGCTCTGCAACATAGAGCACTTGTAAGAAGGGAGGCAGCTCTGTGTTGGCATCTGCAGTATTATGTTAACCCTTTGAGTCAATAGTTTGGTGATGCAGCATTGCTACTTGGTTGAATGGGAATGGACTGTACAGGAAAAAGAAAATGGGGGCATGGGGAAGACAAAAAAAAGGATCTGAAATGGTTATCTCCTTAAGTGCAATGTAGAGATTGAGTACTTTCATCACATCCCTGAACTGGACAGAAACAACTTAAAAGAACCTGGACTTGTATTTGAAAGTGCTTCAAAGGTAATTATTGTCAAGTATTGTGACCGTTTCTGAGACAAATGTACACATAAGCCTACTGGCACCCTGAGCTTTTGCCAGCAGAGGCAGAGAGCACATTCATAGCAGTACTGACAGCAGTACAACAATTTACACCTACACAGATCCTTTCACATTAGAAGGACATTCCAAGGTGCTGGACAGTCAAGGATTTGCACTTGAGCTGAGGGTTGGGTTCAGAAGATGTGGATGGCAGGGAGGTTAGCGGTAGGAGGATGACCGAAGGTGCGGTGGAAGAGGAAGGTCTTGAGAAGGGCCTTGAGGGAGGAAAGGGATCGAACAAGGCAAAGGGACTGTGGGATGGAGTTCCAAAGCATAGGGCAGAAAGGCTAAAGGCCTCGAACACTGATGAACATGTAGCAGACCAGAATCTGCTGTATACTTAATTTGTGATTTGGAATAAGGTGGTACTTGTTACACATTTCCTACCCTTCTCGCCCACCCCCACATGTTTAGCTTATAACAGCATGGCTGTCCCTAGGGTTACCATCAACACAAAGTTGTAAAGTAAACTCAACATTAATTTGCCAAACTCGTTCTCCCTAGCTCCTGCCGACACAAGCTGTAGACCATCCAGAACTCAGGCTTTCAGCCATTCTGCCTTCTTTCCATGAAATTTCATACCAGAGGTCTCATCGCCTCACCCCTCTCTTCCCACTTTTAAAACTAGCCTTCAGAACCACCTTTAGATAACTTTCCACCCTCTTTACTCTCCAAGTCAGCTGTGCAAAGCACTTTGAGATGACCCGCTGATGTAAAAGGTGCTTTATACTGTAAATTGATATTGTTGTGCATACCATAGTCAGTTTACAACTGTTAATTGTTTAAGCATATAATTTTGTTAAATATTCCCCAATCCATCCCCCACTATATATTTGGATCAGTGTTGCTATAATATTGGCAGCCAAATTATGATATGTGACATGATAATTGTCATATTGTGGGCTACTACATTTTCCCCTCCTGTCACTGTCTATATTTGTTAAATTCTGCCATTAAAAAGACATCTCTTTAAAAAGAAGTGATCAGCACGTGGTTGCTGCATAAGAGAAGATGGTGCAAGAGAAGGAAAGAATTCTGGAAGGAAGAGATCAGGTGAAGGTTCTTCTTATCCAAACCTCTCACATAATCTTTAACAACAACCAGAACCTGAATTTATATAGCTCTGGGTTAGAGTCCCAAGCACTTGACAGCGGCGGAGCACGATGCCAAACCGGGGGAGGTGACCATAAGCAAGATCCTAAAGGAAGC